TCCTTAAAACTGCCGGTTGTAAGATTCCTTAAAACTGCCGGTTATAAGACTCCTTAAATCCGCCGGTTATAAGACTGATTATCATTATTTATTTATTTTTTCGTTGAGAATCCCTATAAAGTTTTTATCGACAATCGGTCACGTACGGATACTAAAACGTTTTCAGTTCGCTCTTTTTGGAATAAAAGGTTTTCTTTACCAACAATAAAAAGCAGCAGAGAAAGCACTTTTCATCGTATCAAAATAAATTTTAAGAAACGTCGGCAAAATAAATCTCAGATTAGATAAATCCCCAAGCGATGCGATAGCCTTTTGTGAAGGTTAACAATGTGTAGGGAAATCCAATTCACTGTCACTTACTGAGGCAAATGAGAGTATTTTTTCTTGTGTCCGAGTAGATCTTAAATCTTTCTCCACCGAGACCGATTTTCTCAGATCTATGGTCTACACTGTCCGCCAAGATTCTTTGCTGGCGCCATGGCCGAAATCACATTGACCGTGTAATACAGAAATTATGGGTCTTCGGAATATAATCGTTTATCTAATTCTATCTTTGTGATCTTAAGGCTAAACCCATTTAGTCTTTCAATGCAGTTTTCTTGATATTTACGCTGCTTAATTTACGAGGTCATTTGGCTGCGATTGTTATGTTGAATTGAAAATGACGCGTTCAAACGGAGGTGGTCTACTAAGGAAAAATTAACTTGCTATAATGTTTGGTTTTCCGCCATGCTCGACGTCTGTGATTTAGCTGAGTTACCCTTGTGAGATAACTTTAAGAATTCCTAGGAATTCTTAGGAATTTTCTAAGAATTCCTAGGAAAAAATTCCTAGGAATTCCTAGGAATCTAAGGTGTGAATTTTCACGGTAATTCGGACTCGGAATTCCTAGGAATTCCAACTGAAATATACTCACCTTGAAAATTCCTTAAAATTCCCCAAAATTCCCAGGAATTTCTGAGAATAACTTAACGTAGGATTTTTTGAGAATAGGTTGGAATTTTTTGGAAAATCTGAGAAAAACTGGGAATTTTGTATCATT